CCCTTTCTGCCTCCGTGCTCTCAAGAAGGGAGTTTCCCATCTTATAAGTGTGTTGCCGGTTACTACTGCCCAAGTGCAGCACCCTGCACTCGTCCGTATTGAAACGCATCCTGTTTTTGTCAGCCCACCCTTGCAACCTATCCGGGTCTTTCTGCAGTCTTTCCCTCCCTGCTAGCGTGCCCACCTCACCCCAAATTTTGGTATCATCAGCGAATTTGAACAGGTTGCTTTTCACCCCATCGTCCAAATTGCTGATAAAGAAATTGAACAGCGTGGGCCCAAGGACCGAGCCCTGGGGGACTCCGCTGCCCACTTCCCCCCAGGTCGAATATGACCCGTCCACCACCACCCTCTGAGTACGACCCTTCAGCCAATTAGCAATCCATCTGACCGTGTAGGCATCAATGCCACAGTTGCCTAGTTTTTTAACGAGGATGGGGTGAGAGACAGTGTCAAAGGCCTTGCTGAAGTCCAGAAAGACTACATCCACGGCGACACCTGCATCCAATGCTTTTGTGACCTGATCGTAAAAGGCAATCAGGTTGGTCTGATGTGACCTGCCCCTAATGAAACCGTGCTGGTTGCCCCTCAGCATCACCCCTGATGCTGGCCCATCACAGATGTGCTCCTTGATGATCTTCTCAAAGAGTTTCCCCAAGATTGAGGTAAGACTGATGGGCCTATAGTAGCCCGGGTCCTCCCTCCTCCCTTTCTTAAAGATGGGGACCACATTTTTGGCATATTGGAGCAATGCTGAGCATATGCCCAGTGCCACTCTCAGACGCTCTGCCTTGGGCATGCTCATTAGCTCAGAGCCTCATTTCTGGGATTTACAACATAGGGAGGGGACACGTGAGCATGATGTGCTTGATGGGGGGCATTCCTTTGCATGCTGAGGCATTTTATACGTGCACTAACTGCACAAGGTGAAATCCTGGCCCCCGTGAATTTTCAGCTAACTTCATTGGGATCAGGGGAGTTTTATCCACAGGCTCAACCCACTGAGAATGGGGAGGATACATCATTATTCTCTCATTGCAGGACTAGTAATCCGGATCTCAGTTTTCCAAAACAACTAGGGATTCAAGGGACTTCAGTTTTTAGGTGTCCAAGAGCAGGTGCCTTAAAGAGGCCTGATTTTCAGAGAGGCAGCAGGCATCACTTTCTGAAAATCGGCTCCCTTTAAGTCATGTCCAGTTGAGCCCCCAGTTTATGCACAATTTGGGATAAATAAAAAATGGTCCCAGCTAAGTGCATCTTTTAATCCAAAAGTGTCCCTTTAAAAACCCCTCATTGCCTCTGCAAGCTTTTCAGCGCTGTACACTTTATACAAATCAGAGTGAGTCTCAAGGCTGTAACTCAGTCTCTTGGGGTCCTGCTGACATTTACAGATAGTCTCAGCTTCTGCCATTTTATGGCACCATCTAGATCCCAGCTGAGTGAGATACACCAGTGGGTAACCAAGCAGCAGGTATCTGTCTTTCCAGTGCTGTGCTGGGTCTGAGCTGGCTAGCCATGAAAGGCTAACAGTATTCATTTCTTTGGGGGTAGGGGGTATTCCTAGAGAGCGCTGCTGGATTTTCTCTGTTAAATTATGGTCTCGTAATGAATAAGCTTTATTATGGGCTTTTAATGGGCATCTCAATTAACATTGTTCTTTATGGGAGCATTACACAATACAGCTGGGCACAGCTATTTTTTTCTCTCTAGACTTTGACCCAGAGTTCAAGCCACAATCCAGCTTTGCCAAGGAGTGGATCAGAAGCAGTGAGGGACGAGGTGGGGGAAGAGCCCCTCACCCAGCACCACCTTCCCAGTAGATACATGCATCCCAGTCTTCTGCCTGAGCTGGCTGGAGCTGAGGAAGCTAAGGCAGGCCCCTTCACTGCCTGAGGCTGTTCTGTCAAATGAGTCAAGAGCTCAGATGCCAGCTGCTCAGCCAGGCATGGAGCTTGGTGCATCACCCCCAGAGGGACCCACTGATGGGAAGCAGAATGGGGACAAGGCAGTGTGTCGCTGTAGTCCCGATGCCTGACTGCAGCCCAG